CTAAATTGGGAAATGCTCAAAATTTCTCCAGAAGTGGCAGTAGAGTTGGTTTCATCATTAGATGGTTCCGTATCAGCATCAGCACTTGGCCCAGCATCATCTGCTTTGGGGTGTTGACTTTGAGGCGAACAAATCGATTGAAGGGTTTTCAGGGATGGGGTACAGGAACACATTGAACAAGACTAAAAAATGAAAAAAAAAATAGATAGAAATCAGTGTTTGGTGTGTCTTTCTAAGTTTCATCAGCGTAAAACCAAAATGCACAATACAAAACCAAAAAAGTTAACTAGTGGAGTATGGCATCGTGCCTTAAGGTAAATTGCTGGAACTTTCCGTACCGTAATGACATGTTCGAGGAATTTTAAACGTTTTCAAATACATTATTACAAATACTGTAACTTTCATTATTTTTGCCATCTTGTTATATCTGAGCAAATCAAATGTAAATCATAAATCAATTATTACATTAACAATCGTCACTTCATTTCGAATTCAATTTAAAAAAAAAAGTTGCCAAATTTACACAAAATTGAAAAAGTGCTCTAGTATAGTCACAGTCTAAACGCATTTGCAAATAATTTTGTGCGATATTTTCACTTATACTGTGCTTAGCTTGGCGGCATTTTCACATTTTTCAATATTTTTCCCATAAAATTGGAAAAGTGGTCCAGTACATAAACAGTCTAAACGCACTTGGGTGAACATTTGTACCAGAGTGGCGCTTAGACTGTGCTTATCCTGGGTAGTTTTTTGAACTTTCAATCCAAAATTAAAATGTCCTTAAGGCAAATTTCTGGAAATTTCCTTACCGAAGACTAAATTATTAAAAAAAAACTGCAAAACTTTGAAAAAAATAGATTTCTGAGAAATTTTGAAATTTTCCAAAAAAATTGACTTTTTTGAAAAATTTGATTTTTTTTATATTATGATTTTTTGTATTTTGATTTATTTTGAAAAAATTGAAAAATTTTAAGCAATCGCGCCGCATAGATGATTTGGAGTCGAATTATAAAACAATTACAATTATTATTATAATCTTTATAAAATATCTGGTAATACGATGTATATATTATTTATAGGCATTATTTTTTACTTTTTTATTGGATCTCCGAAGGCGCTGGACTTGCCTTTCCAAAAATTTTACCAGTTGTTCATTTCGTCAATGCAAGTAAAATGTTTTTTTGAATTATTCAAATCCGACGCTCCGTTATTTCAAAAACTGAAATACCATTTTTGGCACTTTTTGCCCCATATCTCTGAAACGGCAGGACCTGCTTTTGTCAAAAACTAATCAGCACGTCTCCTTATCAGTAAGAATTGAATTATTCAAATCAGTTGATCCGTGTTCGCGAAATTGTCGATGAAAATTTGTAACCGCAAACATTGATTTATGATTTACATTTGATTTGCTCGTATATAACAAGATAGAAAAAATAATGAAAGTTACAGTATTTGTAATAATATATTTGAAAACATTTGATAATCTCGAATATTTTATTACGGTACGGGAAGTTCCAGCAATTTGCCTTAAGGCACGATGCCATACACCACTAGTTTATTATTCTTACCCCACATGGTTTTAAAGTAGATCCAGGAAAACAGGAGCATTTGGACGTCACCGAAGCTTTACTACAAAATAATGAAATATCATCAAACAATTAAATAAAGAAAATGTGCCATCATTTTTTTTACCATGTCTTTGTATTATCAGCTTCTTGTTCTTCACAAATGCATTCTTCACCAGTTGGTAGACACTCGCAGGATTCGCCCAAAAATTCGTACACCCATTCACCATAAATAGAAACATCTAGATATAAATAAATTTATATATATATATATATATATAAATATATTATATATATATATATATATATATATATATATATGTATGTATATATATATATATTTCTATTTGCCTGCGTTTTTTGGGTCACAAGTTGGTCTACATTCGCAAGGTTTGCAAGGATCTTCAGCATCACAAGGTTTACCAAAATGCACTAAACCACGAATGGATAAACCAAGGGTTGAAACACATCTTGATATATTGGGCATTTGTTTGACATCGCAAAAAATCCATTGGGGACGTGCTAAGTTCAGGAGATGTGCCATATCACCTAAAAGAGTAAAAAAAAACAGGTGGTGAAGGATTGGGTTTGGCTGGAAAATAAGGTAGAGGATTCAGATTTTTTGTGTTGGTCCAAATACTGATACTAAAGGTTTTTTTGGTTTTTGTCAAATTACTTACAAATATCAAGGTGAAGCACCCCTTTTCGGTTACATAGGGAGAAACTAGATAAAATTTGCCACGATTCCATGCCAACAGCTATATACACCCCGATATAAAAGTTTCGAATAAAACGACTTTGAAATCGACCTTTCATTTTCTTTAGAATTGAATAGAAAATTCGGGACATTTTTTTAACTTCCCGAAGGAGAAGTTTATGTTTTCATAAAAAAATCCGATTCGCTAATTTTATGATTTCTCGACGTTTCAAGCCATTCTGAATCGAATGAGACCAAAATTAGAAAAAGTATGTGTGTGTGTATGTGTGTGTGTGTGTGCGTGTATGTGAACAGATTTTTTGCAGTAAATCGACGTTTTCTCGAAAACGGCTGAGCCGATTTAAAAAATTTAAAAGCCATTCGATGTATCTCGACGAGAACTATCGTTTGTCAGTTTTGTGCGACGATCGGCCGAGACGTTTTTTTTATAAATAGCAAAAAAGTGAAAAATTTTTCGTCCACGTTTTAGCCCGCAATTCTGAACCGATTATGAAAATTCAAAAACCGTTCGAAAAGTATTGATTGGGAATCGTGCTGATTACTTTTTGGTAAAGATCGGCCGGGCCGTTTTCTTGTAATGAAGTGTTAAAAAAAATTTTTTCGACGATTTTCATTATTATTTTTTTGTAGATAGTAGATAGTATAGTCTTCTAGATCATACTAAAATATTACGGCCCTACGACAATTGGTTTAACTTTGAAAATTCGTCAAAGTTTGCAAAAATTGGTATCGTTTTTTTGGCATTTGTCAAAATTAGACTTTTGATCGACGTTTTCTCAAAAACGCCTGAACCGATTTTAGAAATTTAAAAGCCATTTGATGTATTTCGGTGAGAACTATCGTTTTGTGCGACGATCTGCCAAGCCGTTTCTTTGTAATTTGAAAAAAAGTGTTAAACTTTTCGTTCACATTTAAGCTCATCCTACCGAACCGATTTTGAAAAATCATAAACTGTTCGAAAGATATTAGTTGGGAATAATACTGATTAGTTTTAGGTGAAAATCTACCGAGCCGTTTTCTTGTAATTTACTGTTGAAAAAAAATTTAAGCCGATTTTTATGGAACTTTTTTTGGCTATATATCAATGTCTTATACAACTTACTGCAATATTAAGGCCTTACGACAAGTAGTTTAATTTTAAACATTCATCAAAGTTTAAGAAAATGAGTAGTTTTTTGACGTTTATTAAAATTGAAATTGGACGATTTTACTTGGTATAACGATAGAGTACTTGGTTTTAATGAACTTATCAAGCCATTAAAGTCCTATGGAAACTAGTTCAATTATAACAATTGTTGATTTCTGAAAATTTACTTTTAGAAAATACACCGTGTCAAAGTGTTCGCTCGTTTTCAATTATGTATAATAAATCCACTCGGAATACTTTTAATCACTCATAAATTAATTTAGTTTTTATTGATTTAGTCGATTATTTACACATATCGGGAAGTTCATGTAACTTGCCTCAAGGCTAAATACCAAACCAACTAGTTGGTTTATTGGTTTTATTCCAAACTTTTATATCGGGGTGTTGGCATGGAATCGTAGTAAAGTTTATCTAGTCTCTACCTATCTAACAGAAAAGTTTCAATATCTACTCACAATGTCCCAATCCATATTCAACTGGAAGCAAAACAAGGCCAGCAAGTTGGCAGGCAACAATGACATCAAAAGTATCACTAGACCAAGGAGCACAAAGCATCAAAACTTCATCATCGTCTTCTTTTTCAAAAGCCATCAAACATTGGGCCAACTGGACGGCCCTATTTCTCCATTCTGCAAAAGTGGACTTGGCCCTAGATTCGATGGACTCCTAGAAAAAAAAATATCCACAACCACTGGTAATTTTAATACAAAGTTAGTTTTTTTCTCACGTGGCAGAATTTTTCTTCGTATTCGGCCATTCCTTCAAAAAGCATTTGGCCAAGACTGACGTGGACATCTGGGAATTTGTATTCTGGCCCTTCGATGATTGGAGATGATTGTATTTTTGGTTCTGCAAATGCTTGTGTATCATCTGCAGCAGAAATAGATAAATGAAAAATGAAGTATTTATTGAACCAGGCGCAGTATGTAATTCTAGATTTAAAGAAAAGGCTCTGCTGATCTTTCCATAAATGTAATTTTATACTGATTTTTTGGAGATATTTTTTAAAGACTTTTGATATAAATATATTTTTTGGGAATTTAATTAGTATTAAATCTAAATAAATTATTATTAATTTTAAAGTTATACTTTTTCCACTAGCAGATGCATTATTGTCGTAAACTTCGTCCATAATTAAATATAAATGTATAAAAATAAATATATAAATATTAAGAATTTTTTTGGAAATGTCAAATTTAAATTAATATAAACAATTAATTGTTTATCTGATTTTTTTAGTAGGCTTACAGATAAATATAAATATAGTATATAAATATATAAACAAATGCCATTATAGGCAACTAATAAGGAATCAAGTAAATAAATAATAAGTTATAAAATTTACAAATTTCATCAAGTTTCACATATTATTTTAATACAGGTTTCAACAAATAATAAAATTATATATTATAATTAAATGCTAGTTTTATTATTATTACAAAATAATGTATTACTCTGTTATAATTACAATTTGAAATCAACTGTCAAACTGAACTGTCAAAACTGAACTGTCAAAATCGAACTGTCAAAAATTTCAACATGGCCGCCCCTCATTTACCAACATGGCCGCAAGTCGCCAACTGTCAACCTCAATTGGCAAAGCGATTTCACAATTCCTATCGACATGATATTATAATTTAAATCTCATTTAAGTAATATCTCCGAATATTACATCGACCACAAAATGTCCAACGTTGAAGACCCTGAAGACTGCATCAGCCTGGACGACGCCTTAGCAAGTTTGGTAAACGACGAAAAAGACGAAACCGATGACGAAGTGCTCAAAATTCAAGACACAAAAGGACGTGTCAGTGTGATAAAAGATGTAGAATGTAATAAGATATTAAAAAGACCATTGACGCCTAGCAGTGACAATTCTAACGATGCGGAAAAAAGACTTAAGACCGACGAAAATGAGGTTAAGGATGAACAGAGTAACTTTATTTACAATCCTGATTCTATGAGTAATCTCGTTGCCAATCATTATAACAAGATAGAAGAGATTGGTTTGAATGCAAGGACCAAAACACGTATTTATTTCATGCGTAATTTCAATAACTGGATCAAAAGCATGTTGATAAGTCAGTACATCGAGAAAGTCACTTCCAACAAAGTAGGTGTACCTTTACGAGTCCTAGACATGTGCTGTGGTAAAGGTGGTGACTTGTACAAGTGGCAAAAATCTAAAATAACACACCTAATATGTGCAGACATCGCTGATGTATCCGTTGACCAATGTAAGACACGTTACGAAGACTTGAAAGCCAAAAACGACAACAGTCGGTTCCCTAAACTATTCACAGCCGAGTTTATAGCTAGTGATTGCACCTTAATGCGTTTACGAGAACAATACCAAGACCCTTCAGTATCACTAGATCTAGTCAGTTGCCAATTCGCGTTCCACTATTGTTTTGAAACACTTCCACAAGCCGAACGTATGCTACAAAATGCTTCTGAGTGCCTCAGACCTGGAGGATACTTCATCGGTACTATTCCTAACGCTAATGAAATCATGGCACGTAAACAAGCTTGTGGAGCATCCAGTTTCGGTAACGAAGTGTATAATATTGAATTCCAATTCGATGATTCTAATAAAGTGCCTTTATTTGGTGCAAAATACTTATTTCAACTTGAAGGCGTTGTGAATTGCCCAGAGTTTTTAGTACATTTTCCAACTTTAGTTAAATTAGCTAAAAAATACGGCCTGGAATTGGAGTCTAAAGAAACGTTTGAAGAATTGTTTGAACGAGTATCACCCAGTAATAATGGTGCATATATGTTGACGAAGATCCAAGCTTTGGAGACTTATCTGGCATTTGCTAATTCGTCTTTGAGTGGGGCTGAGAGTGAATACGAGCACGCAAAGAATTATTATGAGAAGACACATCGGGAGAAGAAGTTTCAAAAAATTGGTACTTTGTCTAAGAGTGAATGGGAAGCTATTTGTAAGTAAATATATTTATATATATATATATATATATATATATATATTATAATTGCATATATATTTTTTCCAGCTTTATATATGACTTTTGCCTTCAAAAAAGTTAAAACTACATGGAACTCCGAAGGAAAACCTGAATATAAATAAACAAATGCTGCCCTGTGTTGGATAGAAGAACTTTGCAATTTAATTTATTATTTTATTTCTTTTTGTAATATTTTTGTAGTTGAAGAATAATACATTTTTTATTTAAACAAGAATAATGTCGTTTCATAATGTTAATAAATATTGTAGATAATTTAATTTTGTGCATATGCACCAAATATTTCATTTATGTTAGACAAACGGTTTAAAAGTTATAAGAGTTCCAATAAATAAATGCTTCAGTTTCTTCATTGATACTTTTTAGAAAGTTCAGAATGATTTTATGCTTTCAGTTGAGTTGTTAGATGAGAATGTTAGAAAATATGTTGTAGATAATTTAATTTTGTACAAATCTGTCAAATATTTCATTTATTTTAAACAACCGGTGCAAAAATTGTAATAAATTTACTTAATAAATGCATCTGTCTCTGAGGTGCTAATAAATTTATAATTATAGTTGTTGAATGTAAAAGATAATTTATACATTTTCAGTTGGCATTTTAAAGTACATAGAGTTGCTGTATGGATTTGGATGTTAGAAAACATTATAGATTATCTAATTTTGTACAAATTTGCCAAATATTTTATTGAAATTAGATGAAGCGTTTAAAAGTTACAAGAGTTACTATAAATAAATGCACGAATATCAAACTTGTTTGTTATAATATTAGGAATGATTTGTTGCTTTCAATTCAATTTTTAATGTATACCTAGTTGCTGTAGTAATAACTATTATATATTTCAAACAAAGTGAATTTCACAAAGTTTCATTTGAATTTCGCGCTTTAAATTGCACAAGTGGCGACAGACATTTTGACACATGGTTCTAACTTCAGTCGTTTCAATTGTCAAAGAAATGAAAAGACCGCGTGTTAAGGTCGCGTTAATTAACGTTTTTTTAATTAAATCCTTGATTAGTTTTAATTAATTTATGCATCAAAACGTGTAATTAATTTAGTAGATCATTTTGATATAATGAATTTATTGTGAAACGTTAATTAAAAGCCAAAAAGTGTATGTGTGTGGAAGTACATTGAATAGTTTGATAAGTATCTCTTTCAGGGCCTCCATTTTGAGTCAATTTTATAAGTAAACAATTTATTTACAGCGCTAAAGTATCCTTTAATTATATACATGTAATTGTGAAATGTATAATTTATATATGTGCTTTTGTAGGCTATTAATTTATTTACAGCGCCAATGTATCCTTTATTTATATATATGCAATTGTAAAATGTATAATTTATATTTGAGTACTTCCAACACATATCTCTTTATTATCGAATTCTAAATTCACGAAAGTCTTTAATGTAAGTCGTGTGTCGTGTATTGTGTAAAGACTTTACTCGGATAGTTGCAATAAGTCGAAGAGACATGTAACGAACAAAGTTATGTAGTGGTTCTAAAGTAGTGATTTTGTGTCGAGTACTTGAGATTTCTGGCAGATGCTCCAATGGTGCTTGAAGTCTTGGATTTGTGTTCTAGGAGTTGCTGCAGAGGATATCGAACAATGTAAGTGCAAAGCATGTTTTATATAAAGCGAGTCAAAGAATATATTTCTCGAATTATATACAGGCATTTATCGTACCATATCTGTTGTGCCTATAGTGTTTGAAATAATCAATATTTATCTTATGTATATATATATATATATATATATATATATAACACAACATTGAGATCTTCTAATTTTGAATTTAAAGCAGTCAAATGATTTTGAAAATCTTTACTTCAACACGATACTGTTTGCCATCTTCAGTGAAACTATAATTTCAATAGAAATAAATGAAGAAATATTACTCATAATTTATTTTCTGAAAGAGGTTTACAATTAATGACCTTGTACCAATAATATTTTTTATTAATAATGTAGTTTATGCTTGTTTTTTATATTAAATGAAATTAATTCGAATGTGCTTTAAGAACTTGTCCCTTTCTTATCCGATATTATTTATAAAGCAGTCTGTATATATTTTTGTGGAATATTTTCTGGCTTGTGCATTATTATTATAGTCACATACATATATCTGCTAAAAATAATGTTTATATTATAATATTTGAGTAAATATCATTTTTAATAAGGTTCACTTTATTTATTTTTAATGTACAAAATACAATTTATCTTTTGTTTATTCAACTACAACTATTATGCTAATAAATGATTTTAAATTAATTTGGCAGACATATGTATAAAAGACTATGTTCATATTTAATATGTTATGGGGAAAACACGTTGATTCAGTTTTTTTTTAAAAGTGCTTTAAAAGTAAATTTATAAAAGTGCATTTTATACTTGTTTTAATAAAAGAAAAAAGTTTATATTTCTCTTGTGCATCAAAGTCATTGAAAGTAATTTATATTATTACAATTCCATAATAATATTCCACCAGAAATTCTTTTGTTCTATAACAACACTATGAGCTGATATTATGTAGAATTCAAAATTCTTATATATTAAATTTTTGTTACCAAATTATTAGTTAACCAATACAGCTTTTTGAAAGCATCGATTACTTATTTGTTGAAGAGGTCTTAGCATCCTTCCTTAGGTAACTCCTAAATTGATGGTATTTTGTTACAAATTACAAATTTCTTTATAAAATATCTCTTTTTTGTCACACCTCTTGTTCATTGTTATACAGAAAAAATATTTGTATTTGTATTTGACATTTCCAGTATCAAGAATAATGTGTTTTCCCTGTAACGATATTGACTGCATGTACATTCTTATTTATTGGATAACTCGATTGTTGGTTTTGATCAAATTATTTCAAATATTTAATACAACTTACCAAATTGTTAATTAAATGCAGCTTTAAAAAGTTTTAACTGTACTTTTATTCTAAACTTATTCAATTATATCGCTGCATAGCTAATTTTTATTCTTTTGTTGCTAAAACCAATTTTGATCAAGACTTGCAATCAAAGTTTCAATGAGTTGACTTGAATGATTAGACAAAATATAATTTTGTTAACAAGTTTATTATTCGATTGAAGTTGTAAAAATTATTTAACTCGATTTCTAAAGGATAACAATCAGCTTTAAACAGTTTTGAAGTTTTTAATGTTCAAGTTTTCGAATTTTTCAATTTGTTGAAATATGTTCAATTTTTCATTATTTCATTTTACATGTTTTATTGAATTTCTTTTATGGCTTTTTCTAATAATTTGTATATTATTCAAGTCAACTAAATTTGTTTTTGTCTCGATTAATTGTAAAGGTTTCACATGTTTTATCAAGTCGTATAAACAATTTTGATTCGATTAATATCATTTCATTTCATTTCATCGATTAATTAAATAATTCTCTCGAATAATTTTTTTTTTCTAAGTCCTTTCAGATAATTTTTTTTTCTAAGTCCAAATTTTCTGAAACCTTTTCAATTAAGACAGACGAGTTATTTATGCATGCTGTATTATCCCAAAGCCAACATTCGAATGAATGAGGCTCACATTGAATATTTCACAACGAGAAAATTTTATTGGGGCAAAGTTAAATATTGTAACTAAGTCCCAGTAATTTTTTCTCGTTGTGAAAATTTCAACGTGGACTTGATTTCATTCGAGTGTTGACTTTGGGAATTGGTGTGAGGGAACACTAAAAAACATAAAAAAGTTTCAACGCTGAACAGGAAAGAGAAAAATTGATCTGGGACTTAAGGGTTTTTTTTTAAGGCTCTCCACCCTCTCCTTCCTCCTCCTCCTCCCCTCTTCCCCCTTTTTTCCGCTTTTTTCACATTTTTTTTCCTTTTTTTGGTGTTTTTTTCGCATGTTGTGGTTTTTGGGCAGATTTTTGGGTTCGGCATGCATCTTCCGCAATGTGTCTCTCTGCGTGTAACCCCTCGCATCATGGACCTCAGGTTGACCATCACTTGGTGTGTTCGTTTCAGGACCCTTTGCGCTCGCCAACAGCCGTTCACCAGCACTGCTCCATTTTTTCTGCTTCAGAGTTCCTTGTCGTTGCCTTCAGCCGGATTCGATCCGTCTCACCTTGTGCCTGCCTCCAGAGCGATTTCACCGAGTATGCGGTCCCTTAAACCACTCGGCTATTTAAGTTATTGATGATAAAAGTTATTTTTATTCCTATATTATATTAATATTGAATTTTAATAAAGAATATGTATCATACACATCTCTCTTATTCATCATCTGCCTCTACCCCTCTCTTTCCCCAGTTATTTCCTCTACCTTTTTTTTTTTTTTTTCTTTATGTATCTCTCTTACAGTCAAGTCAAGTGCGAAACTTGAATTTTTTGTTTTTCAGAAATATTCTAAGTGTCAAGGTCGAAATGCGACACCTGAATTTAATATTTTGAACTAATATTTGATAATTATGAAAAACTATACATTCGATTTTTTGTGCCTCTTCTGGAATCGAACCGAGACACGCTGAGCAACCGTAGTGGTCACTTAACGACCTCGGCCAATTGGTTACACAGAACTCCCCGCTATTTTTAAAAATATAAAGTGTTATTTTCAAACTGAAAGATATAAGTTTCCTAAAAATGTTCTGTGTCAAATGTGCGAATGGCCGAAGTCGTAAAGATACGGTTTAGGCCGGAATAGCAATTCGAGGATCGACAGATCGAACCCGTAATTTATCTGAAAAAAATATGAATTTTTCTTACTGTGTAAATGAATAAGATATACAGATGAATAATTAAATTTATTGAGTGTCAGTATTACAAAAATCGACGTAATATATATATATATATATATATATATATATAAATGTATATATATATATATATAAATATATATATATATATATATACACATAAATATATAAATATATAAAAGATAAGAAATAGTAGGAGGAGGATAATTTTTCATAAATTCATATTTACGCCTGGTTAGCAGTAAACCAAACCCACTTTGGTGTAATTTAAAAATCTTATTATTTTTCCGATGAATTAACAGTCTATCAGGAGCAGCCAAAATTGGCCAAAATCGTGACTTTCAAATGCAATTTTAAGGCCCTTAATGAATGAAATTAATAATTTTAATGAATGCGTCGTGTAGACTAAAGTACAATCTTTATACCAAACCAAAAAAATTACAAATTTATCATCATCTTCAGTGTTAAAATCAGCTTCAAAGTTGGCAATTTTTCAAACTTCAATTTGGTACCAAGGGCAGAAGAATTTTTTTTTCCAAAAACTGATTTCATATTCGGAATAAGCGCCTCGAAAACTATCAGAATCGGTCAAAACATTTTGAAAATCGCGAAAAAAAAATTTAATTTCATTAGTAAAATTTTGGTTTTGCTACCAATGATTTCGATTTTTCGCAGCGGCATGTGGATTTATCCAAAAACGGATAATATTTTCGAAATCAGCGTCCCAAAATCAATCGAAACCAATCAAAACATTTTGAAAATCGCGAAGAAAGCCGATTTTTTTAAAGAAAAATCGATTTTGCAACCAAAGATTTCGATTTTTCGGGGGGGTGTATGTGGGCTTATCCAAAAATTGATAGCATTTTTGAAATCAGCATTCGAAAATCTTTTGGAATCAGTCAAAACATTTCCAAAATAGCGAAAACAAATCTATTTTTTTGCTAAAATTCCGATGTTGCAACCATAGTTTTTGTTGTTTTCCAGTGGAACACGCCCTGAAAGCTCATCAAACAGGATGATTTCGTCCTTGGTGTAATAAAAAATCATCCAAAAACATGGTCCAATAAGTTTTTGATCATAAATTTCCTTTAGTATAGGGGAGACCCAGATTTTATGGTTCCTGTTCCTATAAGTGCATAAGTACCTGTGAAAAGAATAAATATTCATTCTGAAGATATACATTTAAAATAAGATTACTTGTTACTTAATACCAGACTAGTAACAATAAGTAAGCTTTGAATAATTTGTAGGTACATCATTTATGTTAATCGAATAACTTGATATCATTTCCAAAGTTAAAAAAAAGCTCTTAAAACAATCCATGGATAGTATCCATGGATTCAACTTCAAATAAATCATTTATTATAATCGAACAATTTGATATCATCACTGTAGTTTTAACAAAATCATGAACAGCAGTCTTTGCTTTTAATATTATTTATGATTTATGAATCTAAATTTTATCTATTTTTTACTTATATAAATAAATTAAAATGCCTAGAACAAAATTTTCAAGTTGTTTGATAAAATGTACACAGACACAAATTCGCGTTTCAGTTAAAAATTATACGAAATTTTAGTACTTAGTAAATTTGATATAGTGTTTATTAATGTAAACAAATTAACGTGCCCAAAACGAAAATTAAAAGTTATTTGAAGAAAAGTAAAAAAAAAGTCCCAAATCTACATATTACGTTTAAATTTGCGTTTCAATTGAAAATTGTTCAAAATTTTGATATGCAAGTATATAAAACAATTTATACTATTTGTTAGTAAATTTCATCTAGTTTATACTAGTATAAACAAATAAACTTGTTCTGAACATAGTTTTAAAGTTATTTGACAAAATGTAAAAAATGTCCATAATCCACCTATAGCCAATTATCAAACTCAAATCTGCGCTTCAACTACAAATTATTCAAAATTTTAATATAAAAGTGAATATAACAATATACAGCAAATTCAAGCAAAATTGTATCTAGTTTATACTAAAATAAACATATAAAATGTCCGGAATAAAAATTCCAAAATATTTGACAAAATGTAAAAAAAAATGACCAAACTCGCATATCGATTGCAATTGAGTAAAATTTGTTTGATAAAATCCATGAATTCGATATGGTTAATGATTCATAAATCTTATACAGCATAATTATACTTTTAGCTCGCTAAAATCATTATTCTGCTTTTTAAAATATTCAAATATTTAAAAAAAATTGTTGGTAATTTAATTTTGTGAAAATTTCCTAAATATTTCAATAACATTAGACAAACAAATGATTTTTATTTCATCAATTAAACTAATTATTTGATTTAATTAATAATGGCACTTATGATTCAAAAAAAAAAAAACATTACTTACAAAGAGCATTTATGTATTTTGATCCATTTGTATGATGTAAATATTGAATTATTACTAACAACTGCACTTTTAATAAATATTATGAACACGACAATTAATACACAATTATTTGTTTTCAAATAAGACATTCAAAAACGTATTTCCTTATATAAAAAACAAACCTTTTGTTTGAACAATGAAAAAAAATATTATCCACTTTTAAGAAATTTTGAAAAGTAAGAAAAAATAAACTAAATCTGACCTGTTCTACTTGATTATTTTAAAGATATCTATCCACGGATTTTTCACTAAATTTTTGTGGTTTTATTTTCAAATAAAATATTCATTAATTAACACATTTGAAAACACATGTGAAAAGTAACCTGTCACAACAGACATTTTCAACCTGAAAACAAGTCAATTTTGACGTCTGACGTTTGTCATTTGTTTGACGTTTAACCTTAAACAATATAACTCAATTTTGACGTTTAATGTAACAAATTCGTGTATTAATCATTATTTTGAATGAATATCACAATGTGTTAAAACAAATATCTGTTTAGAATTATGCCCAACAGTTTGCCAAAATGTTTATAAATACATAAACATGAATCACTTTGCCTTAAAATTAAAATATAAAACATTTGTTTGGTACTTACCCAAATCATATTTTCACACAAAACACACTTTAACTTTAAATCTATTTAAATGTATGACAAATGGCAATTATTATTACGATAAAGACACTTGTTGAACCAAGTCTCTGACAGAACTGACTGTTGATTTATTTTAAAAATATTTACAACAGAAAATAAACATAGAGCATAGAACGTGTATTTATATAGACTGGTAACACAGTTTTTAGTATCAACAGTTTAGCAGCAGTTTAATTTAGCATAGTTTTCTTTCTATTTTTATTATCTGGATTGTCTTTATCAATTATATACATGTAAACTTAATTAATAAAACAACATTTGTAAATTTCAATACGCACATAAATTTATTTCATCCAAATTACACAAAAAACAAAATAAAAATAGTAATTACTAATTAAATAAAATATACAAAATATTCCTAACATCTCTCTCGACATGAATTACTTACATGCAAAAATGTATATGATAGAAAAATTATTTAAATTCGCAATAATAACAACAAATTCATGATTGAATATATGAAAGTAATAAATTGATACAAGTATATATACAAATTTACATTATTTGATTTTTTACACAAAGTGCATAACTCAATTCTTCAAGTGTTTTATTTACAAAACCAGCTACGAATTTGTGTTTTTGATAAAAACCCTGATGATAGCAGTTTTTTCAATTTTTTTTATATATATATACAGTTGAACTCCAATTATCCGAATTAATGGGGACCGGGACTCATTCGGATAATCAAATATTCGGATAATCGGAGTTTGTTTTTAAAATTGCCATTGGAGAGAAAAAAAGTTACGTTTTGATATTGCACTATTTTTTATTGAATTAAATGAAAGAAACATGTCATTTTCACATGTTTTAAATATAAATAAAATGTACTTATGTACAAGTTTAGAAATAAAAATCATTGTTTTGTAAACATCTCCGTCAAATCAAAACAAACAATGTGCCTACACTGGCTTTGCTGGTGGAAGAATAATAGCGCGCTTATTGTTAGACTTTTTTTGGACATTTTTTTTTCTGAAAGTGATTCGGATAATCGGCGATTCGGATAGTCGGAGTTCGGATAATTGGAGTTCTACTGTATCTATATACTTGTATCAATTTTATTATTAATTTCACACTTCTGATGTCTATTCTCTAAAGTCCTGACGGAGCTTCCGGGTTTCCGGGGCGTCAGGCGCACCTTGAATCCTTCGGCCCTTTTCAGGATGATGTCGGCCTGAAGCCTGAAGTCCTTTTCGGTTAAGTCGCTGTGGACGCGGAAATTACGAAGGATCGTCGACAGGATTATCTTCAATTTTAACATTGCGTATTTGCGACCTGGGGAGGAAAAGAACATATACGTTTAGGCCAAGTTTCAGAGTATACCGAGACATTGTAGGTCATTATGGTGTTAGACAATTGTGTTGGACAAGTTTGTCGAATGTTACAGTAATCTTGCACCAACGGTTTAAAAGTTACAAGATTTATTAAGTGTACTTGCCTACACAACTCCTTGGCCCTGCCGAGAACGGTACGAAGGCGTAGTAGTGCCTATTGGCAGTTCGCTCCGGCAAGAAGTTGTCCGGATCGAACACGTCCGGATTCGGAAAGTGTTCCGGCATTCTGTGCATTTTGTAGGTGCCGACTATGACTGTGCATCCGGCAGGAACCACAAAGTCACCAGAAACTAAAAGGAAAAAATAGTATATATTATTTATATGCGATCAAATAGTCTAAATAAATGCTAATAAATGATTAAGCTATTAATTGTGTACGTTTCGACACTATATGTGTGCCATCATTCTTGTCAGAATTTGTTTTGAACCATGGCATGTGGGTACTCTAAAAACATAACTTTTCACAACTAAACTAATCGTATAAATTTCAAAATTCTATCTTTATTAGTTTAGAAGAAACCTTAAATGACGGTTACATCGTATTTGGAACCTAGGCATGTGGGTACAATTGTATTGACAAAACAATTGCTATGTTACAATATTCGGCAAACTTAAAGGTAATAAAATTATAACTATTTTATTCATACACCAAAATGCCGTATCTTTAACTTTACTATATCAAAATTGCATTCAAAGTGCAAAGTTATAGTCTAGAAAACTGTTGAACTCATCATATAGGCAATTCATACGACAATCTTCTTAAGAAGAAAGTTTTTAGAGAAATTCAAATCAGGTAACTCAAAAACTGCCATTTTTTGCACATTTAGCTCTGTATCTTTGAAATGGCGGGACATGCCTTTGCCAAAAACTAATCACCTCTTCTCCCAATACTCCGTTTTCTCAAAAACTCGATTTGTATTTTCTGCACTCTTTGCTCCGTATCTCCGTAACTGCTGGACCTGCCTTTGCCATTAACTAATCAGCACATCTCCCTATCAATAGGAATCGAATGTTTTTTAAACCATTCAAATCGATTGATCCGTGCGCCCGAAATCATCGACTAATAATTGTCTCCACACATACACGCACAATAAATGCTTTCTCAGGTATGCCAAAATGTTCAGAAACCTTCAAAACGTCGAGAAATGCAAAATTTTTCATTTTATAACTACCCCACACAAAGTTAATTAAGGGGCACAACTAGTGTAACCGCCTAAAAAAAGGTGATTTTTGGGAATTTTTATTAAAAAAGCTACTTTATCAATCATTTCAAAATTTTAGGAATATATTTATACATGTTTTAAGAATACATAGTAAAATCTTTGAAAAAAAAAATTAAATATTTTTTAAGATATCGTCGATCTCCAACGGCGCGAAAAATCTCTTTAAACTAGATAATATAAACGACGATAAAAAAAATCAAAAATTGACAAAATGACGGCGTTTTTTTTTAATAAAAAGTCGAATTTTACCCAAAATTTTAGTTGTTTTTGCACTGCCAAAATTCGGTTTTTGATCCGATCAAAAAATCGATAGTTCATTTTACGGAGAACTATATATAGAACATGTAAATAAAATTTTTTAGTGATCGGATCATTTTGTTTTTGAGTAATCGCTGCAGCAAATTCGGAAAATGCTGTTTCGAGAAAAACGCGTTTAAAGATTAAATGATCGTTATACTATTCACTAATATATACTCTTTAAATGGCTGTAACTCAAAAACTATTTAAGATATTGATTTAAAATTTTAGTATGTTATTTCTAAAGGCCTATCGAAATATGGAAAAATTGAAAATTCGATTTTTTGAAAATTTCACACTAGTTGTGCTTCTTAACTGCATATTTATACTCATTCATCTGTGATTAACTTTATATTAACTTTATATGTAATACTTAATTTGAATATCAATGATGAATACTTCTTGTGTGAGCATAAATTAATCTAAAAAGACTAATATTGAGAGCATATATTTTTTAGGTAAGTAGTATTAAATCCACACAAATCTATATAAGGGAAATTACCATCTTTATCAATATTAGCAAATATTGATCAACATAAAACAATTCCCATATTTATATAAAATTTTGGAGAAACTCTTTATTTTTGCATATACTGATACGAAAGCATGAATAATAAATAGATATACATAAATAAATACAATAAATAAAAAAATAAACAAATTAAAAGATAATTTATCTTTTTACCAATTCAATTCAAATTTCGCGCTCTTTTTCGACGCCATTTTCCAACATGGCAACCCTAAACAAACGTCAATGTCAAACACCTCAAACAGTTCTAACCTCAAATTTACAACATACCGGAGTATTTACAAATAACTAATAATATATTATTTAGTTTGTTAAATTAATAAATAATTTATAATGTCTGTTAAAAGGAAACCTGAAGGACAAATTCCTGCTGAAGAAAGTGATTTGTTACTCATAAGACCTTTGTAAGATAAATAATAATAAAATTATAATAATTACATGTAGTACTTTTCGGTATTAATTTTGTTTATTGTTTCTTTAAGGGGCGCTGGACAAGAAGTAGGACGATCATGTATTATGTTGGAATTCAAGGGCAAAAAAATTATGGTAATAGGGATAAATCATATATATGTGTACACGAGTTTGTTACTTAAATACATTGTTATTGTATACATACATACATATATATATATATATATATATATATATATATATATATAATTATATTTATATTTATTTACTTCAGTTGGATTGTGGTATCCACCCCGGTTTATCAGGACTTGATGCGTTACCATTCGTTGATTTAATAGAAGCAGACGAGATTGATCTTTTATTAATTTCACAGTACGTATAAACTTAACTGCACTTACATATACATATATATATATATATATATATATATATATATATATATTGTAATTAAATTGCAGTTTTCATTTGGATCATTGTGGAGCCCTGCCATGGTTTTTGCAAAAAACAAGTTTCAAAGGACGTTGTTTCATGACACACGCTACTAAAGCTATTTATAGATGGTTGTTGTCTGATTATATAAAAGTCAGGTAATAATATATTTTTATAAATATAAAAAATAAGTATATATATATATATATATATTTATATATATATATATATATATATATATATACTAGATGACCCGTCAGACATTGTCCTGTTTCCACGTCTACAATTTTTTGATATCCTATACTAATATTTACCATTTACCTAAAAATAATAATCATTCATTTTTACATTACTCTTCACTCCAGAATGCATATACATCAATTTATATTTTAGGAGAATTAATTTGTCAAATCCTGTTCATTTGTGTATCATTCAATCTGCCATACATATACTGTATCGTATATTATTTTAATTTCTGGCGAATCTCAGTTGCTTTTGGGCAATAATAATTTAGATATTTCATTTTTCTTATTCATAATCATAAATTTTTTATACATATTCTAATACTGTCTAGGCTGATAAGTGAATTGAAATTTTTGGCAGACAGTTTTCATTAGTTTTCAATTTCAAACAATGTCTCATACTTCTAATGTCCTTTTAATAATGATAACCAGTTTTTTGCATTTTTTTCATTTATTTCTACAATATTACTATATTTTTATAATCACCTACATCCTAAAAAATTCCCTCAATAAACTTCAGAAAGATTTATCAAAATCCGAATAATCGTTTAGGAGGAAGTTATTTACATACATCATCACATTATATATATATATATATATATATATATATATATATGTATATATATATAATATAATGATGTATGTAAATGACCTCCTCCCAAACGATTATTCGGATTTTGATAAATCTTTCTGAAGTTTGTTAAGGGAATATATCATTATTCTTTTTTTTTCAGTAACATTTCGACAGAGCAAATGTTATACACCGAAGCAGATTTAGAAGCGAGTATGGATAAAATTGAAACCATGAATTTCCATGAAGAACGTGATGTCCTTGGTATAAAATTCTGGGCCTACAATGCTGGCCATGTTTTGGGTGCTGCTATGTTTATGATAGAAATTGCAGGAGTCAAAGTAAGAAAAACTTGATTTTACTAATTTTTACAAGTCACTATTTTATTGTTGTTTTTTTTAATTTTAAACAGATTTTGTACACTGGTGATTTTTCGAGGCAAGAAGATCGACATTTGATGGCTGCAGAAATTCCGGCTGTACAACCTGATGTACTAATAACGGTAAAATTAAATATTAATTGCTTAAATTAATAATAATTTAAATCCACTTTTTTATCGAAAATAATCCAAATTTTAATTTTAATTCTGACTAAAGTTCTAATATACTTCAAACAAATAATTCCAACTTTGCAATATAATTCTTATAAATATTAGACAATGTTACGGTGTTTATTTATATAATAATAATCTATTTGAAATTCAATATTCCTCGAACATTTCTTTACGGTACGGGAAGTTCCAGCAATTTACCTTAAGGCACGATGCCATACACTACTAGTTTAAGTAAAATTTTATTTAGTAAAAACATTTTTCCAAGCGCGCAGCGATATTTTAAACTTTGACAATTTTTTATAATTCAACAGCTTATCATAGGCCTATAATATTTTAGTATGTTCTTTTAGAGTATGAAATCTATCTTTTACAAAATTTTATTTTGATAAAAAATTTATTTAGTTAATTATTTTTGTTTTAGGAATCTACATACGGAACACATATACATGAAAACCGTGAAGACAGAGAAAACCGATTTACAAGTAAGTATTATATATATATATATATATATATATATATATATATTATTTATAGTAATATTTTAGCATAAAAAATGTGGTTAAATCTTTCCGTATCAAGCACGATTGTAATTATTATTGAGTTCGCGCACGCACTTTTTTGACGAAATTATATTTTGCCAAAAAATTGTATGAAAGTGTAAAAAGTAAGTTACATAGTTAAATAACCTATGAAATTATATATATATATATATATATATATATCCTTTAACATAATTTAGCATAAAATTGTTGGTCGACATTTTATTGCATTTTACGCACGTTTCTATTTATGAATGAGTTCAGCGCGTGTACTTTTTTGACAAAATTGTATTTTCAGGAAAAAATTTCATGAAAACTTATTAAACCAGTTGTGGAATTAAATAGACAATAAACGGATATATAATAATGTATACGTCTTTTAACAAAATTTACCAGAATTTTAGCTTGCAAAATGCAGATTCGCATTTAATTCGCTTTCACGCGCGATTCTATGTATGAATGAGTTCAGCGAGTGCACTTTTTTGACAAAATTGCATTTTGCTAAGAAAATTTATATTAAAGTACAAAAAACAATTAATGACGTTAAATAGTCAATAAAATCTAATCTCAATAAACTGATATATAATAATATATACATTCTTCAACAAAAATTACGGGAATTTATTAACTTCCCGTAGGGTAAGTTATCGTAATGGGCCGAAAATCGGAATTGAAAATTTTTACATTTCTCGACGTTTTGAAGGTTTCTGAACATTTTGGCATACCTCAGAAACTAAATGGATGTGTGTGTGTATGTATGTATGGATACAAATTTCCAGTCACGTTTCCGGGCGAACGGATCAACCGATTTGAATGGTTCAAAAAACATTCGATTCCTATCGATAGGGAAAAGAGCTGATTAGTTTTTGGCAAAGGCAGGTCTAGCCGTTTCGGGGATACGGAGAAAAGAGTGCAGAAAATAGAAATCGAATTTTTGAGAGAACGTAGTATCCGATTTGAATGATCTAAAAAACATTCAATTAGTAATGATTGGGAGAAGTGTTTAATAGTTTTTGGCAAAGGCAGGTCCTGCCATTTCGAAAATACGGAGCTAAATATGTAAAAAATGGCAGTTTTTGAGAGAACTAAGCGTCCGATTTAAATGATTCAAAGAACTTTCTGCTTGTCCTAACAAAATAATTGATTTTGGAAAAAAAAAATTTCAACTTTTTTTTTTTTTTTAATTTTTTGTATATCGAAAATATTCCAGATTTTATTTTTAATTCTGACTATAGTTCTAATATACTTTACAAATAATTTCAACTCTGCAATTCAGTTTATATAATTCTTATAAATATTAGACAATGTTACAATATTTATAATAATCTATTTGAAAACATTCACTATTCCTCGAACATTTCGTTACGGTACGAGAAGTTCCAGCAATTTGCCTTAAGGCACGATGCCATAATTGCCTCAAGACAGAATTCCACCCACAGCTAGTTTACGATTTTATTTACGAATCAGTGAGGTGCACATTTATGGCATATATATATATATATATATATATATATATATATATATATATATAGATAATTATTATATTTTTTATTATCTTTTATCAGGTTTAGTGGAAAATATAGTCACCCGCGGCGGAAGATGTCTGATACCAGTTTTTGCATTAGGACGAGCCCAAGAATTATTGCTAATTCTGGACGAATATTGGTCAAATCATCCAGATCTTCATGATGTACCAATTTACTATGCTTCATCCTTAGCAAAAAAATGTATGGCTGTTTATCAAACATACATAAATGCTATGAACGATAGGATTCGAAGACAGATTGCTGTTAACAATCCTTTTGTATTTAAACACATCAGTAATCTTAAGGTAATAAAAGATACATGATTTATATATATATATATATATATATATATATATATAAGGTTGTCAAATATCTCCCTTCCGCCTTTTTGTATTATAAACCAAGAGCAAAAAAGCGGAAGGGAGATATTTGACAACCTAATATATAATGTAATTAATATCCTGTGGTACTCCGATGTACAAGTGTTTCGAGAAACGAGCGATTTTTTTCCTCGACATACGAACAGAATTCGAGAGAATGCCTTTGAGCGCGTAAGAGTTTTCTAAGAAAAATATTAGTGTCAAAATGAAAATATGAAAATTTTTGTGGGTTGTAACAATGATTTTTTGACATAGTAGTGTTTTGGATGTTTTATGATAGTAAATTATTTTATATTATAGTTTATATTCTAATATTAATTGTGTAGTAACGATTTACCCACGGTTACACAATAGAAATATAATATCCACCCTGAAAGTTCATTAATAGAAAATCTTGCGTAAAATTCCTATTTTTTTGCTAGACTTTTTGTTTGATTGAAAATTTTATTGTCTATTTAACGTCATTAATTGTTTTTTATACATTCTTATAAATTTTCTTCGCAAAATGCATTTTTGTCATGAAAGTGCACTCGCTGAACTCATTCATACATAGAATCATGCGTGAAAATGCAAATCTGCATCTTGTAGCCTAAAATCATCGTAAATTTTGTTAAAGAATGTATATATTATTATATATCAGTTTATTCAAAATTTTATTCTCTATTTAACGTCATTAATTGTTTTTTATATCTTCATATACATTTTTTTTGCAAAATGCAGTTTTGTCATTGAAGAGCACTCGCATCTTGTAAGCTAAATCTGCATCTTGCAAGCTAAAATTTCCGTAAACTTTGTTAAAGAATGTATTATTATTATATATAAGTTTATTGGAAATTGTATTGTCTATCTAATTCTGTTACTGGTTTATTAAGTTTTCTTATAATTTTTACGGAACAAAATTATTTTTAGTAGAAAAATTGCTGCGATATACGAGCGTAGTTACGGAACGAATTATACTCTTATGTCGGGGTACCACTGTATATATATATATATATATATATATATATATATATATACATATAATTTTTTTTCAGGGTATAGACCATTTTGAAGACGTAGGTCCATGTGTAGTAATGGCTTCACCAGGTATGATGCAATCAGGTTTATCACGAGAACTTTTTGAATATTGGTGCACGGATTCAAAAAACGGTGTAATCATAGCAGGTAAGATGACGATAATTTTTTTTATTTCAAAAATAATAGCTATTTATATTAATTCATATTTCACATTAACTGGGATTTACTTTTATTACATAAAATTGTTATAAAATACTCAGAAACGCATCGGCGTTTGGAAAATATTTTCAGTAGACTGTCAATATACAAATTACAATTTAATATAAATTTTATATTTTATTAAATTTTATATTTGGAATAAACATTTATAATTAAAATTACCATACAGTAAAATTATAATAACAATAATAATAATAATAATAATAATTTACAAATTTATAAGATCATTTAGAATTTTTCGTTTTAGTCTTGTTTTTATTATTATTATTATTATTATTATTATTACTATTATTATTTTTATTATTATTATTATTATTATTATTATTATCTTACTATTTCTATTATTGTTATTTTGTTATATTTTATTATTTTTCTAGTATTATTTTATTATTCTGAAATTTTATTTATATTATTTATTAATCTTATTTTTATTATTATTTGCTTATATCTTACATTAAATCATATTACGGATATTATTTTCATATAAATTTTAGCCTTTGCTCTTTTATTTATTTAAATTTATATTATTATTTATCAATATTACTTGGTGTTAATAAATTAGCAGTTGTAATAATTATTGAAATTAAAAAAAAAAAAAAAATACAGTAAAATTAAACATTTATAATTTTATACTTTCGATATAAAACGAAGAACATATTTATAAATGAAAAATGTTAAAAATGGTTTATGAGAAAAAAAATCAAGTAAATGGTATTCCGACTTACGTTTCATTTTGCCAAAAATGCTTAGTTAAGCCTATTGGGGATATATTTCGAAAAGATTTAATAAAATGCCTAATTAGCAAAACTTGCAATTTTTTGTAGATTTTGGATTGGAAACTAATCTTGATCTATTTTAAATCACATATAATCTTTCATTAGAACTTTATTGATGTCCA